GGGTATCCCAGAAGACTCGCTACCGCAATTTTCTGTGCAGAGTTGCGTCCCCTATAGCCGTACCAGGATCCGTTGATGGTTTCGATTCACCGATATTCCACGATAATGACCCTTGATCTGTCGGGAAAATACCCGTGCTCATTGAATTCACCATTGTGTTGTGTCTACGAACTGTGTCCCTTCGGGTTTTCCTCCCACATTAAGCTGATCTGAACGTCAGAATAGTTCAAGACCTGTGAAGATCCGGGGTAGAATAGGCCTTCAGCAACCCATGCTTGTTGTAAGACGCGACTAACGGGGTTGGGTTGATGCATGTCATTGTATCCCAGTTGCGTGGATCGATGCTGATGATGTCAATCACTGGATTGTCTGGTCCAGACTCCATTATTTACAGACCGCCGTCATATAGCTGGAATATTTCTAAGTCCGGCGTTAAACAACAAACAAACAATACAGTTTAAAGCAGCGTTAAACTCGAAAAGACATGTTTACGTATGTTTGTTTGTTTCAACAGCAATCAGAGGGTAACTGATTGAATTATAGTTTACAGCATCACAAAGGACCCGTGAAGATCCGGGTTATAGAATAGGTCTTCAGCAACCCTTGCTTGCCATAAAAGGCGACTATGCTTGTCCTGATCGGGTGGTCAGGCTCGCTGAATTGGTTGATGCATGTCATTGTATCCCAATTGCTTGATGTCAATCACTGGATTGTCTGGTCCAGGCTCGATTATTTACAGACCGCCGTCATATTGCTGAAATATTGCTGAGTGCGGCGTTAAACAATAAACAAACAAACAAACAAACATCATCACAAACCCTGTTTCCTCTGCCTGACAGTTTCCTGGACACTGTGACATACTGACTTCGCATTCCACCATATAAGAGGGGATGAAATGTGGCTCAAATAAAATATTCTACTCAACTTCTTAGAGGGATAACCAATTTATATTGACAATCAGTTTTGTCTCATGGTAAGGATGGAAAATATTCTTATCGAAAGTGGAGTGGTAGATATAAAATACATGTGTCTGTTGTATAGTATTTTTACCAAATAGTATTTTAGGATTCATTTCACAACATGTTCCATGTCATATTTATGTAGTTTTGTATGGACATGATACACAATGACAAGTTCAATATTGCAGTGCACTAGTGCCCATTAATGAGGATCTGATGGTTACAATGGTTGAAGATCCGGGGCAGAATAGGTCTTCCATTATCCATGCTTGCCGTAAATGGTGACTATGCTTGTCGTAAGAGGCGACTAATGGGATCGGATAGTCAGGCTCGCTAACTTGGTTGATTGATGCTCGTGATGTCAATCACTGGATTGGCTGGACCAAACTCGATTATTTACAGACCGTTGTCATGCAGCTGGACTTTTGCTTGTTAAACAACAAACCAGCAAACCATGATGCCTGGTCCATACCTTTCACAGGCTGCCGAGATGTAGATTGAAAGTGGCTGACTGCGGGCTAAAACAATATTCATTCACTCCTTACCAGAACAAGTCAGTATCACAAAGTATGCCATAAAAAGGTCTTTTCAGCATTGTGTTACTTTCTCATTTATTTAAGAGAAGTAGTTGAAGCTCACGTAAAATACACTCATTGTGGCTGCAGTAGAATCGCCAGATTGTCGTTTTCATTTTCGAGTGAGTTAGATTTAACGCCGCTTTTAACAGTATTCCAGTTACAACACGGCGCGTCAGCTTAGTGTAGGAGGAAAGTGATGCAGGTCTCATACGTTTACCACTTCGGTGAAACCCACGAGCACGGGTATGGTGCTGACAAACATAGAAACATAATCGGGCCGAACCGGGAATCGAACCCACAGTCATAGGTTTCTGGCGTGCCCAAGGGACGCAACTCTGCACAGCAAATCGCGGCGCCTTAGACGAAGGGTTGCAGAAGGGACTGTGCGTGATGGTAGCAGCTAACCCCGTTGGTTGACTCCAAAACTGTGCAATTGCGTGGATCGATGCTCATGATATTAATCACTGGATTTTCTGGTCCAGACTCGATTATTTACAGACGGCCGTCATATAGCTGGAATATTGCTGATTGCGGCGTAAAACAACCAACCAACAAACAAACAAACAAAGACTGTGTGCATTCTACAGTTGTAAGAAAGTTGCACTTTTATGTCACTTCATATGGTTAACAAGGGAGATTCTTGAAGAGTGTTATCATTTTCGGGTCTGCATTCGGGCATCCTCGGGAAGAGTTCAGTTTTGTAAGAGGCCTTTCTCTGTGTATGCATGCAGGGCTATGACGACTAAACAGTAGATATACGAATGTCGTGTGTCTATGTTAAACTATCGGAGGTATGACAGTGGTATCGCCACGTTGATTTGGGAACCCTCGGGTTTGGGGGTATGTGAGTATAAGTGAATGCATATGGCATTCTGCTACACGTGCATTTTGCCGAACACCTATCCAGCGTTAGTATTTGGTACAAAATTGGGATATAATGCTCAAATCAAACAGAAAAAAATACCCCGATTGCATTTGTAATGTTTAAATACGATTAAACTTCGAAATTGAATTTCAAAGCAATTCACAAACATCGAAAATGGACATTTGAAGTTCCAATCTCATTAAAATCAGGTCTTAGTTCTCGCTATGCTAAACAAAGTTGTTTAGCGGTAGCGAAAACTAAGATCTGATTTTAATTAGATTGTTGAAGTTCCAAAATGGGGCTTGTCCCGGAATAACACGAGTTGGGCACGAATGGCGGCATTCGTGACCAACTGGTAGGCTTACGGAAATATGCGAGTGGTGACGAATGCTCTTTGCAGTTGCCAGCATCAATCATTGCTCTGTCAATCGCATCCATATCAATTCACCTTCGAACTCAAATTTCCGCGTTGGATCAGTTAAAAAATATGTGTCCCTCCGATATTGACTGAATACACTGGTTCCACTGTTGGTACGCGCCGCAAGCGCTTTTAGCTTAGGTAGACAGAATCCCAGTCAAAGAACGGAATCAAAGGCTTATGTCGAATGACGTCACACGTCTTATCATGACGTAATGTCCCTTATTACGTGATTCTTGGCCAATGTCACGCTGCCCTTTGTTTGGGCCTCGTGAATATAATTTGTTATATCAACTGTCATCCTTGTTTTTAATAAGGGATGTCGTGTTAGGGACAAATTCTCTCCATTTTAGCTCTACGAATAAGGCTATTTCGCAGGGCATTATCGTTTGCATAATCCGTCAGTCCATTCTCGAGTCCGTTGGGCAGGTAATGGCAGACCTCGGGCTTCTGAAAATGTTTGTTTGGTTTTTGGTTTTGGTTTTTGGTTTTGTTGTTGTTTTGTTTTGGTGTTTTTGTGTGTGTGTGTTTTTGGGGGGGTGTTGTTGTTGTGGTTTTTTGGTTGTTGTTTTTTTGGAGGGGGGTAGGGGGTGGGGGGGGGGGGGGGGGGCAATCCAGTGATTATCATCATGAGTATCGATGTACGCAATTGGGATACGATGACATGCATCAACCAAGTGAGCGAGTCTGACCACTCGATCCCGTTAGTCACCTCATGCCACAAGCATAGGTTGCTGAAGATCAATTATACCCCGGATCTTAAGGGGTCGACCAACAATATGAGTGAGTGAGTGCGTTGGGTTTAACGCCGCTTTTAACAGTATTCCAGTTATATCATGACTTGTCAGCTTAATGTGGGTGGAAAACCGGACGTTTACCACTTCGGTGAAACACATGTGCACGGTATGGTGCTGACATACCTAGAAACATAATCGGGGTGAACCGGGATTCGAACCAACAATCATACGTTTCAAGCGTGCCCAAGGGATGCAACTCTGCACAGCGAATTGCGGCGCCATTGACGACTGGATCACCCTTGCCTACAATATGAGCTGACATTAGATGATAATGAGTTCTTACACGTCTTCCACCCATCCCCAAAAAAATTACAATATAAACACAAATCTCTAATTTCATATGTGCACTTCCTAAATTATAAAGATAGCTACGAAACATAGCTCACTCTCAATACGTATCTTAGCTATAGTGTATTGCAAAAACGCAGATTGTTTCGCAGACTGATTTTATCAACCCACTGTGTTATTATATTGATATTAAAATTGATATTAAAAAATATCATAATTTTCAAAATAACACATACCAAATTGTGAGTGGTATTGGTGTATGGTATGGTTCATTGCATTGATTCAGCTTTAAGCCATTTCGCTTTGCCTCGAAGTTAAATAAATATCTGAAGCAATTTAGTCACTAAATTAAATTAAAAACAGAGAAAATTGTGACCGAACTTTGATTGAATGACGTGGAGATCTAACTTTAGTTACTTCAGGATGATGTCATTGCATTGAACATGATGTTGAAAGAATGAAAACCAGGTAATTTCATACGTTTCTCTTTTTGTTGAAAGTTGGGACTGAAAAAATTAGGGAGCACTGACTGGTAAGTTTTAGAGCTGCCAGTCCACCAGGACTCGCAGTTTCAAAAGCTAGTGGGAATCACATCTATACTAGTCACCACTTACAAAAAGCATAGGTTGCTGGGGACTTATCTTCTCACCTCTGATAACAAAATATAAGTGAGAGTACATCTTGCAACATTTCAGTAGGTTGCAAGTTATCACTCAGTGGTTAATTGCATGAGCAGCAAAGTCACGAGCAACAATCAGCCATGTCACAAGCAACTATCAGCAAAGTTACAAGCAACAATCAGCCATGTCACAAGCAACAATCAGCAATGTCAAGCAACAACCAGCAATGTCACAAGCAACAATCAGCAAAGTCACAAGCAACAATCAGCATCAAAGTCGCAACATTTTGACCATCCAATCCTCATTTTCAGCCACAGCTGTACCTGTAAGCATGGTATACTGGTGAACTGGCTGTGCCAGGATCCGCTGGTGGTGAGTGGTAATGTCACTTACATACTCTTACCATACCTTCTATCATGAACATTAACTCAAACCATCAACATCAGTTTCAGTGACGAGACGAGACAACAGCAGACATGTTTTATTCTTGTTTTATTCATCCTCATCTTTCATCTTCCCCCCACCTGAGAACAAACTGGAAAGGAATGACTTGCTTGACCCAGCAGCTTTTGCACTAAGTCGTTCTGGCTTCTTTTCACTTCCAAGTTTTTGTTTCTTTGCCAAAATCTCATCTTCAGTGTCTCTCAGTTTGAATTTAAAATTCTGCACCTCAAACGTCTCTCCCTGTTTCCGTTTCCTCTGCTCAATGTCTTTCAACATTCTACTCTTTTCGAAATTCTGTTTATGGAAGTCAGCTTCACGTTTCACCTGAGAGATCTCTGTCCTCATTCTTTGTTCATGGGCTGCCTTCTCATAGGCCAGTCTTTCATTGAGATGTGCCCATTTGAATTTAGACAAATATTTGATGTTCCAGATTTCTTCAAACCATGGATGTTTCCTTTTGCCTCCTATCTGCTGGTTGTTTAGGTTGGCTGCCACTTTCTTCGCCTTCCTCTTGTCCTCGAACTCCACCCAACCTTCACTGAAACACCTCACTTTCTTCCCTCGCTTGTGGGCTTTGGCTATAAAAGAAGACAATAAATATAACTAACTGTGACAGTTATACATTATACATGATACATTATTCTCAAAATTGCAAAGAAACTGCAAGATTATCTTCTAGTACCCAGTAGGATGAGATGGTAATGTGACTGTTTACCTTCTAGTGCCTCATGGGCAGATTGGAATGAAAACTGAGTGCACACTGATTCACTGACTGGGGTAATAATGTAGCACGTCGAGCATGTGATGTGTGGATTTGGTGCATTATAAATATGCAAACATTATTATTACCTGACCTACATAATCCAGATTATCACTTTTCATATTAAAGAATCCAAACCATGGCCTGGTTACAAAACAAAGGAATCCAATGAGTACTCAAATTACATTGCACAAACTGCAAAATGTCATGGGTTTGTGGTCATCTGCGATACAAATTACTTCAATATCAGACGATGGTTGAATATTGCAAAAAACTCATGAATGTACTACTAATTTGATTTCCACAAGTCACAACGATTCATATCATTAGTTGAAGAAAACAGACACTACTCACTACTACACCAGAAAACAGTCCTATGTATTCACTGGTGAATACATGGAAAGTGGTGTTAACAAAATATATGAAGTGTTGATGTTGGGTGTGAGATAAAACGGCACCTAAACAAAACGTCACCAATTTCTCTGGCTAAAACGGCACCGCATTTGGCGAAAACAGTGTCTGTGTCAAGCGAAAATGGCAGCTCTATTTTTAATTACGATAAGAACAATTTATGGAGTTTTCTATCTTCATCACATGTTTACAATATCAGCCCATGTACCACCGAACATTGTGATAGAAGCTGACTCAGCTTATTTCTCGATAACGGGCCACAGGAAGTCCGGTACCACAAACACGATGGGTCCACTGGTCACAGTTGTCACATGATACAGCATGTTGATTTTTTTCTGACATTCTTCTCGTATGCAACACATCGAAAGGCCATTGTGAATAATTGTGATCTGACATCACCATGTTAGGCCTCTTAAATATAGTTTCAGCTTGACATTGAGTTAAATTGAGTAAAGGTACTTAAACTTCAATCATATAGTGTTTTCACAATAAGTTAGTCGGCAAGTAAATTGGAGTAGGGGGCTAATTTCTAAGGTAAACTTGTTTTAACATTTCACAATTATTTTTGTTTGTAAGAGACGATGTGAGTTAATTTAATTTATTTTACTTCAAAGCATGTTATGTTTTCACACCAAGTTGAGTTGGGTATAGGGTAAGTTGAAATTTTGTTGGTGTAGAGGCTAATTTCAAATGTAACATTTCACAATTATTGGTGTTTGCAAGTAATCATGTAAGTTTAATTTCATTTATTTGACCAAGGCAAAAAAAAATAAGGTGCCATTTTCTCCAGGCAATAGTAGTCGTTTTCGCTTGAGGCGAGGTGACGTTTTCGCCAATCGGTAACGTTTTACTGAGGTGCCGTAAGTATAGCTATAACCCTTGATGATGTCTGGTCATAAACTGGTCACAATTGTTTTGTTTATTTTCCATATCTCATTTATATTCCTCCATTTCCTGTCTTTAATAGGTCTAACAAATTTTAAAAGTTTAAAAATCTACTTTCCTCAAGAAGTATTACATTTTTAGTGTGTTCCTCTATTCATTATGTGTAATTATGTATTGATCATGCACTGAATGTACCTTGGACTTACATATCTAATGTGGAGTGTATTGACCCTTTGCCAAGGCTTTGTAGTTTTGTCCATTGAGGTTCTTGTCCCCCAAACTCACTATACAACAAAATTGTGCACATATACAGTGGCATACAGTACATAGCCAGTTAGGCAATGTTTACTTCCTTTGATGTGCAATGATACACTAATCTACGATAACAGGGATACCGATCCTATACTTCATATTTTCAGCATGAACAATAATGAATTGTCTGTCACATGATGTGTATGGTGTTGGGTTAAGAAAAGGTCCTGGGTATAAAATTTGAGACTGAAGTGACATGATCACAATCCACCACAGACGTTCATGGTAGATTTGCAAATCAATGTACCATATACCTTTTATTTTGTGTACGAAATTTCTCATTTCTAGGGTACAAATTCGTTTGGGGTATGCTACATACACACACCATAACGTACATAAATGGTTTCGTGGCTAAATAGCTTATTTGAATCAAAGTCTGAAGCAAATCGAGCGGTACTTTGAAAAAAAATGCTACTTTCTAGTTTCTAGAATGCCAATCAACATCGATCAAAAAACATGTCGAAGTATGATTGTGATCGAATACTGAACAAGCATAATACTTACTGTCTGGCTGTAAGAAAATCTTTCCTATTTCCCCATACTGGCAAAAAATACTTCGGATCGTTGTAACGTTCATCATCATTGGGATTCTACTAAGGAATATTATGCCAGGTTCTTTGGGTTTCTTCGTTTTTGACTTTGGTTTTGGTTCAGATTCATCTGAAACGTGAACGTGTTCCTCGTCGGACGCCATCTTGAGAGCCAAGAGGTCCTTACAGCGTTTATACCACTGTTACCTTAACAGCGAAAAGTAGCACGCGCTGCACTGGAGCATTGCATTTAAAATCCGGAAAATCATAATATGTTGTTTTCCAGGCACTTGTAAATTTTGAAAACTTTTCATTGTGAATTGTGTATATATGATGTATATATGACTCCGTCATGTAAGTCACCCCGCTAAAACGCACATTTACTACTATTTAAAAGAAGTGTTATTGTGTAGAGAGGTCATAGGAAACTACACCATCGATTCGTGTCAATTATTTTCAAAATAGGTGTAATTTATATGTCTGAAAGGGAATTTAATTGTGAACTAAATATATGTTCCTCTTCGTGGGGTTTCACATTACACACTGCTTGGAATAAATCGGGATATAAACCTGGTTTAGCACCGTGTTGTTGGATTATATATAGCCGACTTCGTACCTACAGAGGAATATGTGTTAAACACACACACATGATCCGTGAATGCCGACCCAACAGAACATACACCCTCACCCCTTAAACAACGCCCCCTGATGTAAGATGTCATTAACCCCGTCACCCCTCTACCGGCACGGTTAGCGTGATCCACCCCCTCCTGCACTCCAGTATGGTAATAAAACATTTAAAACGACTATTTTCCATTTATCAAATCACCAGTCAGTTTAATACCAGTACAAGTCACACCTATTTATACTATCCAGACAGTCGTTCCACGTGTGTCGTGGGGTAGTACTTCAGACCCGGGTTGCTTCTGCGCGCTACCCTAACACGATGAACAGAGTGGAGGAGGACACGCACTGGCTAAAGTTTGGTTTCGTAAGTTGGTTCTGATACCCTGTCTGCTTTTTGTTAAATGTCCAATCTGGACTGGATTGAGGATTTATTTAGTTAAGGCAGTTACCTCGATGGGTTAAAATAGTGCAAGAATGGTAATGATGGTGATACTAGACTTATTCACAGCATTATTGATCATGTTTTACTTGTTTGTATGAACAATGAGTTGTTTCATACTTCCCAAGCATATGCGTTAACCCAATACACGCAGAGTACATGTAATTACATTTGTTCAAGATACATCTCTATTCCTAATAATCAAGCAGATGTACGAAGCCTTTTAGGGCCATTTGGTTTTGTTTCTTTTTCTTCTTGAAATTTCAAGATGCTAAGTTGAAATTTCAAGATATATACTAAGTTGAAATTTCAAGATAATGATTTTGAAATTTCAAGATAATAAGTTGAAACTTTAAGATTTTAACTGGAAATTTCAACATTTCAACATTTCAACATTTTTAGCATCTTAAATTTTCAAGGAAAAAAATATATAATAAAATGGCCCTGAAAGGCTTCCGTACAGATGTTACACATCATTCCTAGAGTGTCACGGACAAAGCTGTCTTTGGCTTGTCTCAGCTTGGTGTCTACAGCGACATGTGTCCTCTATCTGCTGGGTTCACGGTGATGTACCATGCGTGTACAGGTGATGGAGATGAGTCGCATGCCCTATGCCCTGCATCTTCGTGCACCTCATTGACATTTCCGTATAATTACTCTTGGAAGTACCACGGCTGAAATATTGAGAAAAATCCTTCAAGAGTTCGAAATCGGACTTGCTTGCCGCCCCCCCCCCCCCCCCCCCCCCCCCCCCCTCTCCTTTGGTTTAAGGTAACGCTAAATACAATCAAACCTTTTCATTAGAAAACCTGTTTCGATGACGTCATACTTTTGTATTTTACTTCGACCACACAACTTTGTCTGACGGAGGATTTAGCAGTACACTGTAAAACATGTGTCTAGAATGTAAACACAGACAAGACATGCTTTGATCTAAACATGATTAGGAATGTGTTTAATTTCTAAACAGAATACACATTTGGTGTGTTCTCCCTAAACGCATTTAGGTCTAAACACATGAAATTAGCTATCTCACAGCCTAAACACCACCTAAACACCACCTAAACACAAGATCCAGTACTCTGAACAAGTTCAGAATTTAAACACATTAAAACATGTTTAGAATTTAAACACCTTAAAACATGTTTAGAGTTTAAACATGTTTGAACATCTTCAGATTTTAAACATGTTTAGAATTTAAACACGTATAAACATGTTTCGAAGTTAAGCATGTTTAAAGTTAAAACGCTTTTAAAATTTAAAACATGTTTTTAAAAAGTGGATATAATTAGGCAATAAGTAAAAAAATGTATAAGATGTACAATATATATTGAAATTTGACGTGAAAATCATATTCACAGGCACTTGCATTGCACATATACCTGCAGGACTTACAACGAACTTGCTACATGTACAATGTTAACATACAAATGTACAATTCAACCAAGTTCGGCTAACGGTGACTAGGAACATTGACAGCAGTGACATCAGCAGTCTTCCGCATCACAGGTGGTAGTGTGAAGTTTAATTGTTGGTTGGTTGGTTGTTTTACGCCGCACTCAGCAATATTCCAGCTATATGACGGCGGTCTGTAAATAATGTAGTCTGTACCAGACAATCCAGTGATTGATATCATGAGCATTGATCCACGCAATTGGGATCGATGACATGCATCAACCAAGTCAGCGAGCCTGACCACCCGATCCCGTTAGTCGCCTCTAACGACAAGCATAGTCGCCTTTTACGGCAAGCATGGGTTGCTGAAGTCTTATTCTACTCCGGATCTTCACGGGTGGTAGTGTGAAGGACTACTAATCAAGACGTTGCAGTTTCGAACCAATCCAGGTTTAAAATTCCTTGTTTTCGTCAATGAATTGTTGCTGTATGCGTAATAGTATTTCTCTCATAGAAGAAACTGACAATAAAAGTATGTCTGATTACTGATTTCTACAATAGACCCTTAACTTAGTTTAGTTAACACCACCCTCCCTGCCCCGAATTAATCCATTTATACAGCTAAAATAGTGTTTTTTACATTTGTGAGTTAGAAAACAGCTGTTGACTGCGTGTGTTCGACCGTACTCAGCGTCTGTACATGGGTAGAGGAATCCATGCACAGCGTACATTAAAATGGCATCCATGACTACATACCGGCGACACATCCTGAATACATGTCTCATAAATTGTACCTAGGTCTATAGGAGTATACAATTACACAAGGAACATCTACTGTAGACAAAGTGAAGGAATGTGTCCGGTGTCGCTGGGGGATTAGAAGGGAACCTGTTTGGCCAACGTCGCCGCTGTTTAACGCTCGGGTTGTCAGTCATGTTGTTGGACAGAGGATAATGTGCTTCAGAGAAATGTACATGTTATTACTTCACCGTTAAAACTGCTGTTACTGTTATGGCCCTCAGAAGACGTCTATGTGTCATTAGAATAATCTTTATTGTTAAATTTGGGGCACGGGGGGCCCAGTCGTCTAAGGCGCTGCAATTCGCTGTGCAGAGTTGCGTCCCTTTGGCAGGGCAGAAACCTTTGATTGTGGGTTCGAATCCAGGTTCGACCCGACTATGGTTCTATGTTTGTCAACACCATACCTGCGCTCGTCGGTTTCACCAAAGTGGTAAACATCCTAGACCTGCATCACTTCGGGCTGTCCTCTTATAGTAAGCTGACACGCCGTGAAATAACTGGAATACCGTTCAAAGCGGTGTTGAAACCAATTCACCCACTGCTGTTAAATTGACCAAGGCCATAGCCTTGTGTTAGCAGAAATATAAATGTCCGATGTTACACCTGAGGATTTCAGCCCAGTGATAATACAGCCATTGTACGGTTGCGTTCCAACCGCTTACGGCCAACACATAGTTTTGGAGCTTTCCCCAAAAAACTTAGGTGACACACTACATGTGTAAAATTGGAATAAACAAAATCTTAAAAGCGACATTAATCATCAGTCATTATCCACATTTAAATTATTCGTTCTCAACAGTGCTTAACTATGTATTCAACACTTTGAATTATTACAGATTCTGATGGTGTTGCTGTTGGATGACGTCAGAGCTGACCCGGATCCTTGTAAGGTTGGCATCAGTCAGTGTTAATATCCATATAGCTCTCTCTCTTTGTAGTCAGGCGCGTACAGCTGGACACCTGATAGGACTGTATGAGCATGATTCACTCAATCATGTGCTGTATTTCCTTGGAAGGTGTTACCATAGGCAACTAAGGTTATTTCCAGATATTACGATTGCCACCAGCTATATAGCTGATTTCAGAGTCCGGCATAAAAAACAATGGGTTATCTTCGCTCCTGTGTTATCATTCATGGACCTGCCTCGAGATTATATTCGCACCTTGATTACGCGTTGTAGTATTCCTACTACTACCGAACTACTTCGTCCTACCTTATAAAAGGTCGATATTTTGCCGTTGTATTGCTAATGAGTGAGTGAGTGAGTTGGGTTTAACGCCGCTTTTAGCAGTAGTCCAGTCATATCACGGTGTCAGCTTAATGTGGAAGGAAATCCCGATGTGATGCAGGTCTCAGACGTTTACCACTTCGGTGAAACCCACGAGCACGGGTATGGTGCTGACAAACCTAGAAACAGAATCGGGGCGAACCGGGATTCGAACCCACAATCATAGGTTTCTGGCGCGCCCAAGGGACGCAACTCTGCACAGCGAATCGCGGCGCCTTAGACGACTGGGCCACCCGTGCCGTATTGCTAATATATTCGTGGAAGCGTAGAAATATATTTCTTTGAGAGGCATTTAGATGTTGGAGTACTTGGTAAGGATATGATATATGGATGAACAACTTCTTAATTACAATTAGGAGCGACGTTTCGTTGTAGGTTCTAACACCGTTACACTTCACTTGTTTGATAACGGTACTGTGATAACGGTGTTAGAACCTACACCAAAACGTCGCTCCTAATTGTAAAAAAGAAGTTGTTCATCTATATATCTTATCCTTACGTAGAAATGTATGTTTAATGTCGCACAACTATGTCTCACCTGTATTTAAACACCCTCCGTAATATTTTCCATGTCATGGCGGTGTTCCAGGTGCTGTCTTGCAGGGAGGGGACTGTTTGTAAACTTGTGGAAGTATGCGCACCACTGTGCGCAGTTGTTCCAGTCTGTACGACTCCAGGTGAGTTATTGACAATAACAAGATCAAAAGATAACGATGGGAAACTTTCAATGGTCGACCGTGTACCTTGTTACACATGTTAGAAGCCACAATGGCAATGCCAATACAATAGCACAAAATCTATTCTAACAAAGACCCAGGCAAGTACTAGACATATGTCTATGCTTTCTGAAAGATAGTCATCAAGTCATACTAAAAGGCTGGAAGACCTAAAGTAACACGTGGCCTTATACGTCAAATGGGGAATTCCCTTTCTGCTCACGTCACCTTTATGATTAAACGTATATTTAACTAATCAAACGATATATTTGTTTCACAAAGCCTACAACCAAGACGCTTCGTAAAATAAGTTCCATAACCAGAAATTTTATCTTTGCTCGACAAATGGTTCAGCTCCAGCAAGGACCAGCAACCCATGTGCCGAAGGCAGTCCCCTGATCACTACATTCGGCCAGGACAAGGTTTGCACGGAGGGGGTTGCTGGCTGCCCCGGGGGACTGGGGTGTGTTGGAGAGTCTGTCGGCAGCCAGGGGCGGTGCTGCCCCACCGGTGGACTACAGTCAGTCAGCAGTGAGTAATACAAAACTAGAAACAATGCCAACGTGGTACTGAATTCACGTAAAACAACCCAAAGGCAGTCAGCAATATTACAGCTATATCACATCTTCCTGAGGCAAGGGAGTTACTGACTGAGTCCAGTTGATTCCCTTGCCTCGGAAAGATGGCTATATCACGGCTGCCTGTAAATAATAATTTCTTGGAAACGTGACTTTTACACTCTGTTAAACCCCTTGCCTCGGGAAGTTGGTAAATAATGCAGCCAGGGCTACGAACAACGACCCTAGCCGTCGAGCTTTTACGATGACACACTACGATACAATCACACATTGTAACCATCAGATCCTCAAAAATGGAGTGTTACGACAACAGGGAGTACTGTGCCTCCAAATGGAATCTCCAAACGGAAGGACTGAGTATGGTTTACCCCGTTTTAAAGCAACCTGTGCCTTTGACGCGACGAGCGTTTCAACCATAAGACTACCCCACCGCCCCTGTAAATTTGCTATCGCCCCGGCCACGAAAAACGTCTTAAACTGTCATTTGCACTTGTAAAACAATGTAACTTAGTACACATTCTATATTCTAAACAGCCACAACTGGAAAGCTTTGTGTTGCAATACCCACCAGCCATGACAGATTAACTATAGTCATATGAAAAATCGGGTGTTCTTTAACTTCTTTTAAGTAGTACATATGTAGCATGATATTGGACATAAACTGTATACCTTTGTCTAACGGTCACTTATCTCAATTCATTAAAGCTAGGAAGCCCGGTTCATGTCCTGCGTCAACTGGGAACGGCATCTGTTTCAACTTCTGCGGCCGAGACATCGACTGTGTAGACGGTCAGAAGTGCTGCTTCAATGGTTGTGGCCACGCATGTGTCGACCCTCAACGTGAAACGTCACAAGTACAAGCTCCTCACAGCAACATGGCACCCTTGACGTCAAACCCCTCGTCATCGCCTGCCACTCCTGGGACCTGTCCTACAGTGAAGACGTTTGGCGCTTGTGTCCGAATGTGTCGGTCTGACAGCGAGTGTTCTAATGGCACAAAGTGTTGCAGTAACGGGTGCGGTTGGACTTGTCAGTCCCCACTTCTCCCACCAAAGCCAGGCACGTGCCCGCGAGACTACAACAACGAACCCTGCTTCTCACGCGACCAATGTCAGCACGACTCCAGCTGTACCGGAAGTTGGAAGTGTTGCACGACAAACTGCGGGAGACAGTGTCGAGAGCCCAACAGCACCCCAGCCCCCCGCCCTGGAGTGTGTCCCGCCATCAACAGAGGTCCAGCTTTCGCCGTTAGCTGCAGTGTCCGCTTTGATCTGTGTCTGGTGGACGTGCAGTGTCCAGGGACGATGAAGTGTTGTGAGTCTGCTTGTGGCAGGAAGTGCCAGACTGCCCTGCCCCACGTGGCGGGCGGTAAGCGTGGCCAGTGTCCTGCCCCTGAGGACAACCCGAGTGGGTACGGGGCCACCCTGTGTGTCAGCTTCTGTTCCGTGGATTCGGACTGCCCCGTGACCCAGAAGTGTTGTCTGAGGAGCGACGCTTGCAGCCACATCTGCACCAAGCCCATCGCCTGACATCTACAACCCCGCAATGTCCTTTTGCTATCCTCTACTCTGTTGTCATTCGTCACCACTCGCATGTTTCCGTAACCTACATTCAGGTTATCCCGGTATTTGCTCTGTGAATTATATGCATTTCTATTGAATATACACTAACAGTTTAAGCAGAAAAAGGGCCCCCGGTCGATCCTCAAATCATTCGTAGCGATACGACAGGCGTATTTAAGTCTATGTAACTTTTGACTTCAGCTAGTCGTAGCGCTCTGAAGGCATAATTATGTGGATCGGGGCCAGGCATATATAGCAGTACAGTGACGCCCTGTGACTCAAAGTCCTCGGAAACAGGCCGCGTTATCCATAGTTCGAGGCGTTACTTAGAGCATAGAATAGATGAGGGTACATCGATGTCCCACGCTAATCAGTTGCAGTGTGTATTTTTTAATAATCCAGTTATGAAATAAGTAACGTGTGGTAATCGTAGTTAGAATGGAGACGATCGAGTATTTTACATATTGTGCTACATGTTTAGCAATGACAAGCCTCGTGAAGTAGAACCGCGTTTAATATTCAGGAAACCTAATTCACAAGTGGTGGGAACGTACAAAGGGACATAACCCTGTCGCCACGAGCCTAATTCACGACATGGCTCTTCTGCACTGAGTAACAGTGTTTCGCGATTTTAATTACCTTAACGTCTCGGGCCAGTTGTCACTACTATACAAGTGATTCAAGTAATTTAAACCCAACTTTTCTTCTCATTTATGCGTACTGTCCATATATATAATTGTCTTACAAAAATGTATACATGTACGTTGTACTAAGGTCCTTTCATGAGTTCTAAGTGTAATAAAACTTTTCAACCACGATGTGAATTCATACTGCGTTGTTATTTAAACTACGGAGGTGGTGTCGATATCAGAGCAGAGCTCGAGATGATGAAATATTCTTCAACAAAACATACCAGGTTTATCAATCATGTCAGAAGTGCTGTCTACATATATCTGCTACTTTTTATATTACATCTTTTTGCAAATGTCAAATAAACAGTTCCAGCACCAATGCGACAAACCATTGTATATTTGTATAAGCCATCTCTCAGCATATGCTTACTCCACCATCTATAGAAAGCTAAAATTTGAATTCCAGCCATTTGTAAATAAGCTCATCCCTTGGGTTTTGTGTTCGATACTTGGTTGGCCCATTTGGGCTTATATTTGAAAACATGGAGACCGGGGGGATATTTCATCTTCTGATGACTCTTGTTTAGATTCGCCTAAATATGAAGTGTAACTGGACAAATAAACCATACTCTAAAATAGGTGCATTCAGAGATCCAGATAAGCTGCGTATCTGCGTAAAATACCCATCAGAAATGCAGAAATACGCAGTAAAATAATATCCAAGCGTATCAAATACGCAACGAACATTATAGATACGCTACAAAAATAAAACTTGTGCGTATATTCGAAATATTGTGAAGTAACCCTGCGTATTCGATTGGCAAATCAGCAACTTATTTTGAAATTATAAACGGGCATTCCGTCAACCTTGCCAAACTCCACGATGACAGTTACATCATGATCATTTGCCATCACACTTTCTTTTGGAAGTATCGTGGTATTTAAGAGTCCTATAAAGCTCTCGAACCCACACAACACCAGTTTGCAGGGACTAGATGAATAGTGTTTTTAAATATTTAACTTAAATACCCGCATGTGTAAAAACTAGTGGGTAACAGAAATTTGAATACCCAGATAGAATAGCTGATACGCAGTGATTTTAAAATGCATGGGTAAAATACCCACAACACCAAAAGCTTATCTGGAGCTCTGTGCATTATATAAAATTAATGCATTACGCACATGCACACACTTCGATTCTGAAGTACAGTGTATCAGGGTAACACAATAGACCAATAGACCAGAGACCATAGAAAGACTTATAGGTATTAACATCGAATAGCACAACCTTGTATAGATCTACTCCACGGAGAGAAGCGAATCAATATCGAGTGCACACTGATCCATTGACCGGGGCTAATATGTAACAGCCCCACTGACTATCACTGGTTGGAGATTATAGCAACTTTACAAGTCAATTATGATTAACATTAGAGAGATAGTATAATTATTTTACAAATGTTATCAAAATGACTACGTTTTATTCGGATATGATTCCGAATGCATATTTCAATCGTTTTCGTCTTTTTGGGATGGGGGTGCTGTGGTTGATGGGATGTTTTCGAGAAAAAATAGTGAGTATGGTTTTACGCCGCTTAAAATTAGCAATATCACGGCGAAATATTTATTTTAACAAAAATAGAACATCCAGCATTCATTTATCAAAAGAACAAAAGGCGTGATAGGACATTAAGTATAACGTGGCGTTCTGACCAGCAGTAGTGAACAAGGAAAAGAATGCCTACTCTTTGTTGGATCAACAAGTAAAGATATCTTTGAACAATTAATTATTCATGGAGAGTCTGAGTCAGATGAAACAAATAGCTAGGCTACATCTGACGTGGACATTATTGGACCATTTAGCTCGATGTTTGATTATGATCCCTTTGATTTAGAAATGGACATTCGTGCTCCGACTACAAAACAATAAAATAAAGGCTTTGAAGAAAATGCTGAAAATATCCACGAAGATTCGATCTTGGCAGTCATCAAACTGTTGAAGAACCGAAAAATGACAGCTGTTTACAAGACGCTGCGCATGCGTTCCACGAAGCGGAAACCGAAACGAGCAACAAGTCTTAACTGGTTCTAACGTAGCCACACGCAGTGAACAATGCACTGTTGTAGATAACATCTAGACAGGGGCCCAGTCAACAGTCGAAGCCCGACACGCTGCTTGTTTTCATTCGCCAGCAGCGTAGAAGTCGCAACAACGATCAGCATCTCACTGACAATCAAGCAGCTCGCCGAAACGACAACTAAATATGCAGAGTCCGAGTGTGTTAGAACGGCTGCGGCAGTTTGATGCATATCCAAAGACACTGGAAGATTTCCGGGTGAAAACGTTTGGCGGAGCAGCAGGTGTGCGAAATTTGAGGGTCTCGAAGCAAACCGGGTGTATCTTATCGCATCAGTTGTTATGAAAGTCATACGTGTGTCAAATAAGTTCTGACCTTTCACGTCTCATCATATCTTATGTGTTAGAACTAATTGTAAAGCAATTATGAACGTCTATCCTATGTTATATTCTGCCCTAGCGTAAAGTAGAGATGGGTACCCCTATCTCTCCAAACCACCCAGGAATTTGAACCCTTGTGACAATACATGTATTAGAATATGGGTAGGTAGTGGATTTTGTTCTTGATGGTCGTGCATTTTATATAAGACCACATCGATCTAAGCCAAAATTCATCCAACTCAAAGATAGTAAAGGTTTGCATGTAGTACACATTTGTAATCATTCTTGTCTTACCCTTGAAACAAAAGTTATAATAAGACAAATATCGATATCATGTAATCCTTTCCCTCCATGCGGGTGTCTACATCCAAGACAAGATAAGCAGGGTCTAGTTATTAGCGAAATTATCATAAAGGGATAGAAACAAGATGTAGAATGACCATTCACTTAATTCAGCGTAATCATAAACTCCAAATAGTCTGATGGATGAGTCTAAGAAATTTCCAATTCGGTTAAACAGCTGCCAGTCCAGATTTTGTAACACGGAACCGAACAATAAAGACATATAACTTCAGATTCAACCATGCATCGTTGATCTATACATGGAATATTTATAGCTAGTTTTCTGTTATATATTCATATATTATCAAAATGCCACTCACAGTATAAGTTCATATCTTAGTTTGACTAAATCTATGAAATTCAGCTTGATTATTGGACATGCATGTTGTAAAAGTTGACCGTCCATGACGAAAACAGCCCATATCGGACTGCAGGGTAGATCGGTATGTCAAACATTGCTAAGCTCAGATCAGATACAGTGTGAATCAGTACCAGTACTTGCCATGATAAAGTGTAATCTTTGCCCTATGTATCCATGTATGTTTGAAGGATACTAAAAGAAAATTGTCAATCTTATTAATGTTTTGGTTTTAGATCACTATCGGAAATAATAATGCCTAAAAACCTGCATTTCAAATCATTATGCTATCATTGGCATATTTCTGCAATGTTATGTGGCTTTTTTTTCAGTGACTCTGTCCAGTGCAGTGCTGATGTTTATACTGTTTGTGTCAGAGTTCAACTATTATCTCACAAAAGAAGTGCAGCCGGAACTATTTGTGGACACTTCAAGAGGCCAGAAAATTCGAATAAACGTTGATATTACATTTTCCAAGCTGCCATGTGCTTGTAAGTTATCCCTTGTGATTTAATATTTGAATGGACTGTTTATTTTCGATTTTTTTCTATGACAGTTATTAAAGTATGTAAACATGATTTAGGGAAGACATATTACATTGTGTATAAATGTTTTCTGATAAATTGGGTTTCCATGTATATTAAGATGTTTTGGTTTAGCCTAATTTGATTGATGGAATACATCTGTGTGAGAGAGAGAGTCAAAACTGATACATCTTGTGATGCCATCAGTGATATGTCTCAAGTTTTCTTTTCATGCCTATCATATATTCATATACAGTAAACTACGGTTATAATGAACTCAAAGGGACCTCTATTTTTAGTTCGTTATAACCGTAGTTCGTTTTAAGCATATATACAGCATAACTACAGCAAATAGTCGGGACAAAAAAGTAAGTTCGTTATAAGCATGTTCGTTATAAACGTAGTTTACTGTATATGTATACATATATACATATGTATACGGGGCAGATTATCATTGATATATGAGTCATGTTTGCACATGAGTGTTTTGCGTGAGTGGACAGTCAGTTCAATTGTTATAAGACGTCTTGCTTGAAATGGTTTTCTTATGACGGATTCATGCTGGCAGAGGAAGAAACCAGTATCGAAACACCCTAGTGCCGAATCATTTTAAATTATTTTTACAAAATCGATAAGGTTCCTTGTGTAAAGGCTCTGAATCCAAAGTGAGGAAGCGTGAAAATATTCCGGATTTTATCAACTCCGGCAAACAATAGGATGGTGCAGAAGGTAGAACGAGGAACCAAATAAGAAAAGTACCGATATGCAATCCCTGCGACAACGATGCGATTTCAAAGGAGAATTGATAAAAACATTCCCGAGAAATCACAAGATTTTTTCTTCCAATATGATCCCTGAGGCTGCATTGATGTGATGTTCCAGATTTGAGTATTGATGCCATGGATGTGTCTGGTGAACAACAGATTGATGTAGACCACAACCTGTTCAAGCAGCGTCTGGATACTGATGGGACAGCTGTCAGTGATAAGCCAGAAAAACAGGGTGAGTGATTGGGCAAGTGGGAGGGAAAGCCTGTCAATGATAGGCCAGAAAAAACATGTTGAGTATTATAGCAGGTCGGAAAGCCTGTTGGTGATAAGCCAGAAAAACAGGGTGAGTTCTATAGCAGGTGGGAAAGCCTGTCCATGCTAGGCCAGAAAAACAGGGTGAGTTCTATAGCAGGTGGGAAAGCCTGTCATTGATAAGCCAGAAAAACAGGGTGAGTGCTAGAGCAAGTGGGAGGGAAAGCCTGTCCATGATAGGCCAGATAAACAGGGTGAGTGCTAGAGCAGGTTGGAAAGCCTGTCCATGCTAGGCCAGAAAAACAGGGTGAGTTCTATAGCAGGTGGGAAAGCCTGTCATTGATAAGCCAGAAAAACAGGGTGAGTGCTAGAGCAAGTGGGAGGGAAAGCCTGTCCATGATAGGCCAGAAAAATAGGGTGAGTTCTATAGCAGGTGGAAAAGCCTGTCCATGCTAGGCCAGAAACACAAGGTGAGTTCTATAGCAGGTGGGAAAGCCTGTCATTGATAAGCCAGAAAAACAGGGTGAGTGCTAGAGCAAGTAGGAGGGAAAGCCTGTCCATGATAGGCCAGAAAAACAGGGTGAGTTCTATAGCAGGTGGGAAAGCCTGTCCATGCTAGGCCAGAAAAACAGGGTGAGTTCTATAGCAGGTGGGTAAAACCTTTTGGTGATAACCCAGAAAGTCTGAGCAAGGCCAACTAATGGTCTATGACGTGATCAACATCCCATGTCACTGTGGTGTAATAACACTACTCAACCAAGTCACAGATACTTGGCACCCCATGACAAGCATGAGGTACTGGGGACCCTTTCCGATCTGGGGACTCCATAGAGCTGCTAAACCAAGTTGGTAAGGATGTGGGTTAGTGGCCAGAAGTGAGATACCAAGTAACTAGTGGATAAAGTAGGAAAGCTGGTCAGATATGAATTAAACTACAGTAGAACATGAGTATAACGAACTACAACGGACCAGAGACTTCAGTTCGTTATATCCGTTGTTCGTTATACACATTTACGCTCGGATACTTCCGCCATCTTGTATAAAACAAATCACAATACTCGTAACTGCAGCATTGACTTGTAGTCGCAGTGATCACTTCATAGCATTCAATTGATAACATTTCATAACATTTCTTTAAGTTTAACAAGGTTTATCCATAACCGTCGATTGTGTTGATTTGCCACGATTGTGTTGATTGACCTCAGATTGCGTACAGCCAATTGTCAGCGACACTTGACACTGATTGACACTATCACTAATAAGTGGTAGATGGGCTTATCGGTGATCAAATATCAGGTCGTTGTATCCGTTAGTTTGCTGTAGAGAATTTGTTATATACGTAAACTTGATATGATATTATGTAGGAGATAAATCAGGGATTTTTTAACAGTTTGTTGTATCCGTTTGTTCGCTCTATCCATGTTCGTTATATCCATGTTCTACTGTAGGTAAAGACTAGATGCCTCGAATGTAATGTACCTGTAGAGGAAACCTGTTGGCATGTAACGGATAATGTCATTTGGAATATAGTTTAAACACTTACAAACCTTCTAATCTCAGTCCTTGTTAAGATGATGATGATGTTTGTTGTTTGACGCTGCACTCAGCAATATGACGGCGGTCTGTAAATAATCTAGTCTGGACCAGACAATCCAGTGATTGACGTCATAAGCATCAATCCATGCAATTGGGATACGATGACATGCATCAACCAAGTCAGCAAGCCAGACAACCGGAAACCGTTAGTCGCCTCTTACAACAAGCATAGTCACCTTTTCCGGCAGGCATGGGTTGCTGAAGACCTATTCTACCCCGGATCTTCACAGGTTGTTAAGTGCATCAGAGTTTTATGAACACCACAGTCAAAAGAATCAAAACAAGGCACAAATGAGGAAACTACTATAAATAAGCAGTCCAACAGGTGTTTGGTTAATCTCTATAGGACATCTGTTATTTGTAGACATGGCCTGAATTGATTGATTGATTGATAGAAACATGGTTGCCATGCAGGTTTCTACAGGTTTGTTCCAGTAACACTTATGTGTCACTTATTGCATACTTTATCCTGTAAGCTGTCCTGTGCATATGTTTTGTAAATTCCGGCCAGAAACTTTCAACATAAAGTCACGTGGTACAGATAGTCTGTAATTGTGAGTTGGAGATAAGTTATTCTTTATATTACCCATAGTCTTTTTCTCTGAGAAAATGTAGAAAAATGTGGGTTTCCTTATCCGAAGCGAAGACATTGGCTCAGATGACCTACATCTTCCCGAGGCAAGGGAGTTAACTGACTAAAAGTCCAGTTTCCACCCTTGCCAAACTATGCTGGAATTCTGGAGTTACATTTTGGCTTGGCTGGACGAATGAGTCTGTGCATAGTCTTATCAAAATCGTGAAACAAACTAGATATCCAGTTTGTAAACAGCATGGATTTCAACAAGCAGATGTCTGTCGACTGCAGGATTTGCAAAGCATGTGTACCGCCAACTGGGCATGGACAAATATTTTGCAAATCTTTTCATGTTTTAAATCAAAATGCTCAAATGATTTAATGCACTTCGCGTGGTGAGATCCTTTTATTACAATGTAGATCTTGATCATCAATCAGATCGTCTTGACTGGGCACCGCCACTTTGTTCGAAGCAATGCAAGTGATACGAGAGGTGGAATCTGATTGGTCCATAGGAGGGACATAGAAGGGACATAACTCGTAATAGCCACTGCTGGTTCTATGTTCGAGACTGGATATTCCAGTGTAGTTTGGCAAAGATGGAAACTGGACTGTTATAGTCAGTTTACGCCCTTGCCTCGGGAAGATTGGCGACCTATTGTTGAAACAACATCGCATGATATCACTTGTTTGTGTCATGGATGACCCCATGTTCAATTATTTACAACAATGTGTTCATACGACGTTGCTACGGGCTTCGTCGCAAACAATGAAATAACTGGAATGAACCAGCCAGTCAGCATGAAGCAAAAGTTATACTGCTCAGTTTGAATTATGGGAAATAATTGCACCGCTATCCATGCCCTTGGGTGATGTGTCACTCCTCTAGATATTGACATAGTTTTGTATCAGCACAATGGCTTGTTTCTATGCTTGCCCCTTGTGTTGTATTTAACCTGTTTCCTGAGCTTATTCACTGATAGCTTTGTCTGTTTCTTTTGCAGAATTGGGAGATGCTTCTAAAGATTTAGTTGCTGTAAGTATGGTGGTTATTTAAGAATAGACTTCAATATTTTTTGTTTATAGAGTTGTAAACGTAACTACCGGTGTGCACACTGCATTAATCTGCATAGCATAGCTGTTTTACACATTATGGGCACATCGTGTTTAACATTTCTAACTCCATAAATGCAAAAACATATTGAAGTCAAGTCATATAATAAACATGTGAAGAATAATGACATCACGGACTGCTTATTTTATCATTTCAACAATACAAAAGCAGCCACATCAATCAACACAATAATGCAACTCAAGCCCTGTCCACTCTATTATCAACCAATCAAGAAATAGTAGTTTGTAATTTGGTGTGGCCCACTTTGTAGAGGGTTTATGGAAATGTTAAAATACATTGCTTGGTAAGACAATCAAATGCCACGAAATTACTTGCAATTTTCTTTTCCATAGAAACATATAGAGAAGTATGTACATTAAGAAGAGATATTTCTAATGTGTACCAAATAATGACAAAACTAACAATCAGCCAAGTGCTACCACCAGGACAACAGTGTCTTTATTCTTATCACAATGTGCTGCACATGATTTCCAAATTTGAGACAAATTTTGAACATGTTGAAAGGAATTATGGACTTGGATAGATATACAAACAAATACCTTGATATTGTATTTGTGGCCTTTATTTATTTGTGAAATATATTGGATATATAAATAACAAAACAAACTTAACAAGCTTAACATTATGACCCTTTTGTGGGTGCGCTGTTTCATTAACATGCTTTGTTTTGTGTCTCAAGGTATAAAGTTGGTGTTTTCACTTTTAACTTGACTTTTGACATAGACAAAAAAAAACAAGCAGTGTTGTCAAAATGACCCAGTATACATCAAACTTGAACATGTATCTTAAATGTTTGAGAAATGTTTTTGCATGGCTCACATATATTTTGTTCGGGTAGTCTTGGCATCTTTTATTATAAGGACAAAACGTCAACATGTAAGATATACATGTATGTAGTGTTGTTCAGAAAGTCACTCAAATAGATGCGTGTTCAACAATGTGAAATGGATCATGAAGGACGTGTCACTCCTACATGTTGTTTTGGCCAGCAGAAATTCCCATGACATTATTGGAAAAAAAACCCCTTCTGTTCTCTCTCCAACACAAGTGAGTTCTCTGTCAGAGTTACGATAGGTATGGTAACTTTATCTGCAACATGCTGTAAATCTTAATGAGTCTCCAGATTAATACCACTGCTGACCCCCTAGCCAAAAATGCAAATCCAAATCCATGCTACTCCCCCTCCCCAACCCCAATGGAATGATACATATCTGTACCTTAATCCAATCTACCTGTGAAGATCCGGGATGGTATAGGCCTTCAGTAACCCATGCTTGCCGTAAAAGGTGACTATGCTTGTCGGGATCAAGTGGTCAGGCTCGCTGACTTGGTTGATGCATGTCATCGATTCCCAATTGCATGGATCGATGCTCATGATGTTAATCATTGGATTGTCTGGTCCAGATTTTATTATTTACAGACCGCCGTCATATAGCTGGAAAATTGCGGAGTGCAGCGTTAGACTACAAACAAACCTTAATCCAGTCAAATAGCAGCATTTATAAGCACTGAGAAAATCTAGACCCTGATTGTAGGAGACAATGATTTGCTGTAGGAGTTCCTGTGACCTACCGTCTCTTTGTGTTCTCATCAGCATCTTTTGATGCCAATAAAATAGATGGTGATATATTTCAGAATGTTACAAAGCCGAAGGAACTTGATCCCAGCCGCTGTGAAAGTTGTTACGGAGCAGAAACTGATGACAAAAAGTAAGTACTGGGTAATGGAACATCCCTACAGTCAAGGTCTATGTGTTCTACATCTATGATAGAAAGAAGATTTGTTTGGTGTGGCAATTTCTTTTCTTTAACCATTTGCAATCCAAACAGTATTAATATCTTCTTCAAAGTCATTAAACTTTACTGTATTTTATAGGGCAATATAAAAATTGGCAAGATGTCAGCAACACATTTGACAGAACAGCAGTTGCCAATCCATGAATATCCTGGGTATTAGACTATTACGGTTATATATGCCTTCTCTAATGATAAGGGGTGGTGGGTTAGCCCAGTAAGTTAAAGCGTTCACATGTCATGCGTTAGACCTGGTTTGATTCCCCACATGGGCCCAATGTGTGAAGCTTTTTTTGTGGTGTACCCTGTCGTGATATAGCTGGACTATTGCTAAAAGTGGCATAAAACCATACTCACTCACTCACTCCTTAATGATGAGTACCCTGGATTCGCTACCCTAGCTTTGTTTAGCAAGTCATGTCCTCATCTTCCTTTCTCTTGTCCTTAACTTGTTGGGCACACAGATGACCCAGTCGTCTAAGGCTGTTTTGTGGGCACACAGGTGACTCTAAGGCGGTTTTGTAGGGGACTGTTGTCAGCAATGTCCAATCAGACTTAAACAAAGCTGTGGTAGCAAAGGGGTATTTGTCATTGTAGACTGGAGATGCAGTAAACAGGATCCCAAAGACATAATTTATCCAGTCTCTAGTAATTCATGTCATACTTTATACCAGGGCTGGGCCGAGTCCAAATTTACTACCCGGGTACCCACCCCCTTACTACCCGACCCTACCCGGTACCCACTGTAGGTCTCAAGAGAAAGGTACAAAATGTCTATTCGAATTTTTTTTATCATAGCCCTGGCAAAACGTATTTAGATACATGTATTAAACAATCTGATCATGCATACGCTGAAGTTGACTTAAGTTATTTCTTGATTCAACCATGTGAAAATTCAGAAAGAATGGGTGCATAGTCAGAAATCATTATCGACTTGTACTGTAACCACTGACCTGTACTGTATAGAGTATTTGTCATTGAACAATGTATCACGTGACTAACCACGGGTTTGGGTAGTCCTGTGGGTACCCGGGTCCTACTCAGTACCCACCCGACCCAGGAAAGGCCATTATAGGAGTGCTATGTTTGTCCAGGCTTTAAGTAAATGTGATTCAGAGGAGTTCTATTTTTATTTCTTACTCTTTTTCACATGAAACAAAATTCAGCACTGCACTATCCCTTTAGCAATGATTATGACATGTCGGATGTTCCTCTCTAGGTGCTGTAACAATTGTGAAGATGTGAGAGAAGCTTACAGGAAAAAGGGTTGGGCTTTCAACAACCCTTCAGGCATCGAGCAGTGCAAGCGGGAAGGATGGTCCGAGAAAATGTCTGCACAAAAAAATGAAGGTTGCAGAGTCTTTGGTTACCTGGAAGTTAATAAGGTAAATAATCACTCAGTAATGGACAGCTGGATATGATCTTTGGAAATCTAAACAATTGTCAAAAGGCTTGTGACCATGAAAATTAGAAACCTTAAGGTAATTGACCAATGGTGTGCTTGTTGTCAGATTCCTATGTTGCTGATTACAGACATGTTTTGCCCCAGGTCAAGGTCAAGGTCAAATTTTGTTTCTAGTGATGTTAAGTCATCATACCCTGCATCTGTCTAACTGCCTCCGTTGTGTTTCTCAGGTAGCAGGCAACTTCCACTTTGCCCCGGGGAAGAGCTTCCAGCAGCATCATGTGCATGGTGAGGAAACAAACGGCAACACGTATTGTGTTTCTACATTAGGGCTGGGAGGGTTAACTCAGGTACTCGGGTTGGGTGGGTCCTGAGTAGGACCCCGGGTACCCACAGTACTACCTGGACTCGTGGCTGGTCACGTGACATATTGTTTAATGACAAAAACTTCCTGGAGCTCAGTGGTTACACTTCAAGTCGCTTATGTTGGCATTTCTTTATGATGATGCACACATTCCTTTTGACTTGTATATGTTTGAGTAAAGATAAAGCTTCAGTCAACTTCAGTGTATGCACGATTTGATCATTTCATAAGAGACCATATATCTATTATATAGTCTCTGGTTTCAAACATGCATCTAAACAGTTTTTGCTAGGGCTACAGTTAAACTATTCCCAATTAGCCATTGTGTTCCGAACTCTTGAGACCTACAGTGGGTACCCGGGTAAGGTCGGGTAATAGGGAGTTAGGTACCCGGGTAGTAAATTTGGACTAGTCCCAGCCGTAATCTACCATCTTCCCGAGGCAAGAGAGTTAACTAACTTTAAAAGTCCAGTTTCCACCCTTGCCGAACTAGGCTGGAATTACTGGGCTCAATCGTAGCGCCACCAGTGGCTATTACAAGTTATGTCCTTTCTATGCCTCTCCTATTGACCAATCAGATTCAACCTCTCGAATCACTTGCATTTTCTTCAAACAAAACGGTGGCGCCCAGTCAAGACGATCTGATTGATAATCAAGATATATATTGTGATAAAACGAGTCTTACTTCGCAAAGTGCATCAAATCATCAAAGTTGGACTTGTCCTAGCCGTAATCTACATCCCTGGAGATTAGTATTGGTTAGCAGGAGAAATTCAGAAATAACTTAACTGGCTTTACCATATATTTTTTTAATCCACAGGGATTGCCATTTGAATAACTATATCTTCAAGTCGAAAAGTGAATTATTACCGTTATGGCTCTAGTTAGATTCTTCTTCAGAATATTTCAAGTACTTTTGGCCTAAAAGAATAACTTAGGTCGTTGGATAATTTTACAGTAAATACATTGTATCTTTTTGATGCGTGGGTTTCTTATCACGTTTACTTGCACATATTTCGTGCCATTGCGAGACACACGTGCAGATTTCACACCGTTGTGAAACCCATGTGCTGAGGTCACCAGTTTCATTGAACCTAGTTCACGACTGCAGGCGATATTTCATCTCTGATACAGGTTATGTATTTGAGAGTTTTTATTAGTTATTTAATTAAAAACATTGTCTATGCGATGAGTCGGTTTGTAAGTTGGACAAACCATGTCTCTTTGAGATTACTAGAGATTGTAAACCCTCACATTCGGGAACATCCCCTCGTGAGGGTTTACAATCTCTAGTAATCCCTCGCAGACATGGTTTCTCCTACACATATAAGATGTCTGATAATCAGAGGAGTGGTCATGACTCAAGCTTTAGAAAAATGATTTTGCTCAAGACATTAACATAAGCCACATTTTAAATTAATAAACATGTTGCTGTTTCAGTGTATTTCTGATGTAATAGTGTCATGTTTACTTTCAGTACACGACTTGCAGGCATTCGGTGGACAGAAGGTAAGTTAAAACAATCTTTGTCTTCTACAGACACCCTGTGATCATTTTGAGAGCTGACAACATATGAATCAGGTTGTCAATGTGGCAAGTACTTTGCAGAGAGAGACAGGGCCACTAGTCCAGTGGCCTAGTGTCCCAGAAGCTTCATTAATTTCTAGACAGAATTATTGGGCTACGCTTGGTGTCCGGCACTTGTCAGCAATGGGACTATCAGGGGAGATAACTTTGTGGAGCAGATAACAAGCGGACCCCAACACTTTCTACCCCTGGCATAGTTTGTCCAGGTCTTACAGGTTGCTGTTATTATTCATTCACTCCTCTAGTCATGCTCTTGATCCCTGTGGGGATTCCAGGAATGAGTCCCCAGTATAATATGGGGAATCCCGACATGGGCACAATGTGTGAAGCCCATTCCTGGTGTCCCCCGCTGTGATATTGCTGGAATATTGCTAAAAGCAGCGTAAAACCATACTCACTCTAGAGGATTGTTTGTTTGTTGTTTAACACCACACTGAGCAATATTCCAGCTATATGAAGGCAGTCTGTAATAATCGAGTCCCGATCAGACAATCCAGTGATTGATATCATGAGCATCGACCCATGCAATTGGGATTCGATGACGTGCATCAACCAAGTCGGTGAGTCTGACCACCCGATCCCGTCAGTCGCCTCTTTCGACAAGCATAGTCACCTGTTATGGCAAGCATGGGTTCCTGAAGACTCAAGAGGATTGGATGGTGGGGATCAGGGACTTTGCTGATTGTCATTGTGCCATGATGATGTCTCTGGTTTGTCTGGGCTGCCATGATCTAGCTTGAGTCATAAAACAATATTCACTCACTCCTGCTCTCAGTGAAGTAATTTTAATTTGGGATAACAATCACAACCTCTTTAGGTCATGTGAATGATTCAGAGAATAGGAGACCTTAGTTACTGACTTTGACTCAAGTATTAAGGTCAAAATATGATGCTACAATCAGTTAAATGTTGATGCCCTCAGAAACTATATACTACTCAAAAGACATTACAAGAACAACCGATTCTTTTGTATTGCTGAAATTTGACAGAATAATTTTAGTAATATAAAAGAATCGGGTGATCTTTTACTTCTTTTGAGTAGTATATATTCTGAATGTTTCAGTTCAACATTACTCATCGTATCAAGCACCTGTCATTTGGCACCGACTACCCTGGAATTATCAACCCTCTTGACGAAACATATGAAGCAGCTGAGGCGGGTAAGATGGGTTACCTCCCTTCCATTATATCCATTATATATATTGTAAGGTAGGCTTTGTGGTTGAAGGATTTGTTCATCATGCTGACAACCTAGGTTTGATTCCTAACCCAGATACATTTTATGAAGCCCATTCTTGTCCCTCACTATGAAGTTGAATATTGCTGAAAGACGCATAAAACAATATTCAATTACACTCTCTTATATCAACATAGGGGACAGAGCTTGTAAACTTGTTCAGTCTTGGGAGATTCATGTTACAGTGCTTAAGACTTAATTTAAGGAACACTTTGTTGCACTTCAGACTTACCAGTTTTCCATGCTTTATGATTTTCACATTATGAGTGACACATTATGACTGAGTGACTGTGGGTTTCTTAGCAGTGTCCTGTCCTCATTTATCAGCGTGACAAGTGAAAATACTATGCTGCCCTACAAGGCTGTTGTACTACCAGCATTAACTGCAGATCAGGATTTTGGTGTGTGCGCACATAAGTAACGAACTGACTTGGCCAAGGACGCAGTAAACATGTCAGGGTGTCTGGATCCGCCAGAGAACTGGCAGTGGCAACACACAGCAGTGACCTCAATTCAATCAGGAGCCAAATTTCACATGAATAAAGTTGAGTTGGCTCCTAATATTTTTTAAGGTAAGGTGAATAAATTTCCACTAGTCTCACACAAACAGAACAAGATTATAGGAACAATTATTCCTACAAATCATCCTTAAAGATGAATTTCTTACACCACTTTGAATTCATTCAAGAATTCTTTTATTTTTTAAAGTTTTTCAGTGGTAATAGTCTGTTGTGCTGCTGAACCTGCTGACAGCCATGCCAGTCTTTTCTGTTTGGGTTCTTCAAGATAGTTTCCAGAGAGAATTCAACAACTATTAGCATCTGATACTGCTTCCCTGTGACGTGTGTGTTTAAACATTCTGACCATACTGAGCAGGGTCTAATCTCTCTCCTTAGGGTGAGAATAACTTATTTTTCAGGTCTTTATGTTCGTTGAGACATACACATACTTTTAAGGACCTCTATTACAACACTTATTTTTCCCCTCTGCCTCTTGGGGTATTGACTAAGAAAAGTCCAGAAAACAAGACAAAACAATGGACTGATTAAATAAAAAGAAACAACGATAAACATGACAAATTTCTAGGGAGTATCTTGAGTCAAGATGTTCCATTAAGTTGATGGGCATCATAGCTGGATTTTTTGCACTGCGTCTCTGAATGTTCCGAGAACAACCCTTGCATATTTATGTCAGTCTGATTTTTTCACCAACACCATGAAATCAAAGCAACAACACTATTTCTGATATTCTATTACAAATATATTTATTAACACACAATGATGATGACATTATAGACACGCTGCATTCATGTGTAAAGCTCGCCTTGGAGGTCAGAGCGTCACATGTCAGCTCTGTGTGGCTGTTGTCAACTCAAGAATGCTTCTGTAAATAAGTCTACCGTGAAACACACATTCCTGTCAACACCGGATACCAGTGCCTATTCCCATGAACGTCCCAAATGTCCCTCCTCCCTGCACCATCGTCTTCCCCACCTGCTGCACCAACTCCCGGCCACGCATTCCATACCTGCAACAACATTAACATTGGCAGTCCATGTATCTGCAAGAGGCCTCAGTCTAGTAAGAATGTTCTGTTCCTATGTTAACTCGAAATACTACTCAAAACATACCTTTATTTTAACACCTCCTTCTATTACTGTCATGCACAGATATGTTCCAACAACTGTAAGTCATTATGTAATAATTGCCACAAGTTAGAGCTTTATCAGTTTTACAAATATCCTGACACTTCCTCCTGCCATTGCTTTTTTCAACTACATAAAAGAATGGGTTGGTACATTGTCCTCAACAAATTCAAGGCTTTTTCAAGGCACTTTAGTCAAATTCAGTGCAAATAAATAACCAAGACACGGAAACAGATCTTGTGATTTAATACATTGTATCAGTTACCAAGCTTTAATGTACTTGTTATCCTGCTGATATTCTAAGCAATTTTGTGTATAACTAGTAGAAACAATTATGGTAGTTATGGTGTATTTCAAGGTCTTTTCATGTTTATGATGTATGGCCAGACTTTCTTGATGTTATGTTTTACAGATTTATTCCAGCTTTTCCTGCAGGTGGCCTCTTTAGTCACTGATTGTAGACATGGAATTTACATAAAATTATAACTTTTTATATTGTATAAGAGGATTAATATTACTGGCCGAAGAAATATTAAGAATAAGTATTTTTTATGTTTAATTTATTTCTAAGACCGGCTGCTTTTCAGTAGGGGTGAGGGGCCTGTGAAATGAAAAATAAAAAATGTGTGGCCTAATGATATAATGTATCTTAGCCTCTTTGGCCAGACATTTTTAAGACTTTACCATGTTTACGGTGTTTGCAACTCCAAAAGAATTGAAATATGGGCCAAAATTGTCAAGAACTATGTTTCCAATACTGAGGTTCAAATTGTTACAGCACATGCCAAGATCAGCAGTACTGACTAGCCATGTCCTGTTCAAGATAATACGTTACACCATATCGTAAATCTACAACACTGTACAGCCTAGTGGAGAGTTTTATGCAGAGGTCTCCGGGTTCAATGCCCTTGCTGGCTCAATATAACTTGTACAGTTAATGACTGTAAAATTACCCAGACAAAACAACTAACCTGAGAGCTGAGAATCCCCCAAACAGAGCTCCTGAAGCCATGCCAACGCAGAATCCCATCATGAAGCCCATTTTGACCCGGTCCCAGCAACTGGGGCCATGCCCCATCGAATAACCACTTGGTGGAGGAGCTGGCATTGTCAGGGGGTCAGATACGCACTTTACTATAAGAACACTGAAAAATAATAATGGTTCACGTGGTAGTAAATATTACTGCTGATCAAAAGTTTTGATGCAAACTTCATCATTCTCTCACAAATGATGTAATTTGGAATAAATAATCTTATTAAACTGTCACCTCTACAATTTATAAATCAGGCCAAATTGTAGTGGTATGTGATAGATTAGTCCAAGACAAATCCCCTGTTTTTTATTGTGGTCCGTTGACATGTTAGATGATTATTTCAATTTACCACACGACTACCATATGTGACACCCCCATATGTATTTATGGTTATGTCTGGAGTTTAAATAAATAGAACATAGAACAGAATGACACTTGACCAAAGCTGAAATATATCCCGTTTTCGGCGATGTACGAAAAGTGCGCGGTAATATTATACATGACTTGGCTGGGTAATATTTTCGTAGTTTTCTAACATGTATCATATTTTGCCGACGACCCCGCCCCTATTTTGTATGTGACATTCCCACCCCCCTTCGCAGTGTTTCTATCCCCCAAAAGAATAAAAAGGACCAATCCCTTATGTTGTAGGCTTATGCAATGCCTGACACTCCTCCGTAGTAGACTAGTCCAAATTCGTTCTCTTTTGCACGTGCGATAAGCTAATATGGCACTTCCAGGATGCACCCTTTTGAATTGATACGGAAGGTGACATTCCTGGGATTTGGTGACGTACTTACATCAAATCTCATTTCAGAGAAGTTAAATGGGCATAACAGAGGATGTTGCATTCTCGTTAGATCATTAAACACGAACTTTTGAAGCCTGACCTTGCCGATTAGCTTGTTACCTATGACCCATTTGACTATAACGATTACCAGCCGATTACGTGACAAAGGGGATCACAGTCTATCAAAGAACGTCACCAAAACCTAAGGGATTCCTATACAAACTAGCAATACGATGTCTGCATGTGCGTACCTCTTCGCTATGTGAAAATTTACAGCGGCCTGGGCATCGCGCACCAGTAGTTATGCAGCGGAAACCATTTTGTATCCCATAAGCACTTTCGTCATTTCCGGTTTACGTGTTGTGCCCTTTGAAATGCGTTTACTGAAGATTACCTATGCTTCTGATCATTAAAATCGTGTGAACGTAATATATTTATGCTTATTTCATCAACGTATTTTCGCGTGATTGCGAAGTCGAGTCCGGAAAAGGGGTAATTTGAATCTAGTCAAAAACAATTCCAGCAATTTAGCGTACTGGCCAAGTGGTCTAGGGGTATGATTCTCGCTTCGGGTGCGAGAGGTCCCGGGTTCGACTCCCGGCTTGGCCCCAATTAGTTTTGGTATTAGATTTCAATATATGCAATGTCACTGAAATAAACAGCGTGGATGTGAACAAACAGGACTCACGAGATCCAATCAATGAAATTCAAACAGTCAGATATACAAAGAAAACAATGTTAACATAAGTTTAATATTTGTTGGTGTGCAACATGCATATTTTATAGTGGCATCCACTTTTGCCTTCTCTTTGTCATGCTACAGTTGCCTCAGTTATTTGTCAGAATAGCAGACAGCCCTCAAAGATGTGATTCAATTGTTCCACGGTGCAAAGTTATGCTTCCACTCTGCATCTTTTTCACATCTGAAATAATAGATGAATGTATTATATAAGAATTTATATGATATCAGGTAACATGAAACATGAATGCCTCGTATGTAGTAATTATGCATGTGCACTTATTTTCAAGTAATTGTGAGGTGGGGTTGGGGAAGCTTAGTCGTTAAAGCGTTCACTTGTCACGCTGAAAACCAGGGGTTTATTGCCCGAATTGGTAAAATGTTTAAATCCCATTTCTGGACTCCTCCAGTGATATTGCTGTAATATTGCTAAAAGCCGTGTAAAATAACATACTCACCCACTCACATAATTATGATATAGGGCTGGTGATGATCAATGAGCCTGTAATTCAGGGTGTACCTTCTCTGAATTCTGGAATAGGAATCGTAAGTGGGTACCTAATTGATCGAGGCGACTATGCTTGTCGTAAGAGGCGACTAACGGGATCGGGTGGTCAGACTTGCTGACTTGGTTGATGCATGTCATCGATCCCCATTGTGTAGATCGATGCTCATGATATAAATCACTGGATAGTCTGGTCCAGACGCGTTTACTTTACAGACCGCATCATATAGCTGGAATATTGCTGAGTGCAACGTTAAACAACAAACCAACCAACCAACCTAATTGATCGGGTGGTCCAGCTCGGTGAGTTGGTTCATATCCTGTCATCATGCCCACACCACATTGAACATCAGTCACTGGAATGTCTGGTCCAGTTATTTACATGCTGCTGTCATATAGCAGGAACATTGCTGAGTGTGACATTAAACAACAAACGGGTTGCAATGGCATAAGTGTAGGCATTATTCCACACCTGAATACTTTTCTGTAGGAAAAAGTAAAGGTAGGCAAATATGAATGGAACCTTTTTCAGGAACCCTTTTGGAAAGTTTAGTATCAGATTCTTTCTATGCATCTCTATAGCCTTACCCTCAATAATATCCTCAATGAAGTGTGTATAATTGGCACATGAAGCATTGATTGGTCACCGCAAAGCATGATAGGCTTTGTATGGAGAAACACTGAAAATATACACTTTATGAACCGGTAATGGAAAAATATTGACATACAATGGGGTAGGCTCTTTCAACAATCTCATTAAAATCAGATCTTAGTTCTCGTTATCGCTAAACAAAGGTTTGTTTAGCGGCAGCGAGAACTTAGATCTGATTTTAATGAGATTGGCTCTTTCAATAAAATTGCAGTTAACAATTTTTGTGGGGTCAGTAGATCAGAATAATTCACATTATTACTATCTGTGTAGATAAATAATCAGTTCCTAATCAACACATTCTTTTGTTTACAGAACAGATGATGTTCCAATATTTTGTTAAAGTCGTGCCAACCACCTACACCCAAATCAGTGGCCAGGTACGTGTATCAGGTTTTCTCTGAATGAATTCATGTACATGTGATAAAAGGAAACAATTTGTGATGGTTGATTCGGGAGCATTCTGCTGATAATTTCTGTACTTTCACATTTTGTTTTGTGTTGACAAGCTGTTTCTTGAAATTAGCTGGTAGAATTATTACTGCAAGAATAAATTATTTTGGCAAAGGTCACCTTTAGGATCATGTCTTTCATGATGATAAGTAAAACGATCAAAGAGACATACCGTATGTCACTGTGTATTTTTCTGCGGAAGACAAACATGTTCTTATTGCAATGTAGGGATTGTGTATGCGCTGGTGACATGATTCATTTCGAGTCACTTTATAGATGGGGTATATAAATTAGCATCGATTTTGAAGGCTTGTACAGTTGGGTCGTCTTATACATGGGCTGGTTATCATTAAATATGTATTTATAAATGGAACAATTATTCAAGTAAATTGAGTTGGATCAATATTGATGGTTCAGACTATGTGGTGGTCAACAGAAACGAGGGACAGCTTTGCCATATATTATTTAAGAAACTGCAACTGGGTTTGTTACATGACTTGGTAAGGAGATCTACTAATAAATCTAAAGCAGAATGTTGCAAATGTCAGAGATTAGGGATTTGAACAAAAGTATTTAGGCTTGGTTGTGATTTTAATCATTCATACTCCTCATAATATTTGGTATTCAAGACAAAGGTATAAAATTATTATACATTCATGGAACTTTCTAGCCTTTGTAGAGTTGTATAGCCTGTTTGTACTTGCTATTGCTTCAGACCCTACACACCAATCAGTTCTCAGTGACCAAACATTCCAAGACAGTGGCTGCGGGATCAGGGGAGAGTGGTCTTCCGGGCGTCTTCTTCATGTATGAGCTCTCGCCCATGATGGTTAAATATACAGAAAAACAGAGGTGAGTGCACTTAACTATTGGCTACTCCCAGCTGTGTTGCTGGATTGTTAGCTGACCAGGCTGAAGACATCTTTTCCTCAAGGACCTCTGAACCAATGAGGCGTTTGAATCCAGTTTTCAATATGGCCACCATGGCAGCCATATTGAAAAAGCTACTTATGGCTATATTTATCAAATTTGTTACATGTTTCGTAAGTAGTGGGGCTCCACATATATCTTCTGTTTTTGCTATATTTAGAAATTTTGACCTTGATTTGGACTTTGCACTTTGATCATACCGTAAGCTGAAACTTCATATGGCAATTAGTCAGCCTCTTTCTTTCAAAATAAAATAAAGTTTGATATATGTGTAGTTGGTAGTGGGGCTCTACGCATATGTTCCATTGTTCGCAATATTTTTAATTTTAACATTGGTTTGGTTTGGTTTGAACTGTTGAGTACATATCAAGGTGATTTTTGTCATGTTTAGGTCACTCCTTTTCAAGTCATACAATGTGTGAACATTTTTCAGAATTCATGTTTCTTATGTGTAAAGCAAGAGGCAGTAGTTTCAAGAACAAATTATTGTTTCATGTAGACATACTACACATGTATATGTTTTTTTATGATATGTCGTCTGATGCATTGAAGGAGTGTTCAACAACAGTAGTGCTGTGGCTTGTTACCTCAGTGACACAAGTTTGGGTCCCCACATTGTCTGAAGTGTCGTCTAGATTTTGCTAAAAGCAGGGTAAAACCATACTCATTGAGACATGTGTAAATATTTTCACCACAGAATTGCAGGAGTCCTTAGCATGTGAAATACTGGCTGTTGTTGATAGGATGGGACACTCCCTATCTGTCAGCATACAAGAGTTGTCTCCCCTGGACAGCTAGCATTTGTATATCACTTGCTTGATAACAACGGTGTTAGAACCTACACCGAAACGTCGCTTTTAATTGTAATAAAGAAGTTGTTCATCCATAAATTCTTATCCTTACTTAGCTAGCATTTCACTTATTCTCAATTGATTTGAATACAAGAACATTTGAATATGTGTGTGAGTTGTGGTTGTACCGGTGATTGTGAATGCCATGCAATGGGCCCCCCATCCCTCCAGCAGTAACTGGAACTATTTAAATATGAAGGTGCCTCTGTATTATGCTGATTCCACTGCCATATAGCTCTTGGATTGCTGACTATTGTACTGATCACTACTCTTCTAACTTTCAGGTCCTTCATGCATTTTCTGACGGGTGTCTGTGCAATTATAGGAGGAGTATTTACAGGTATATACACTAGGCCACCAAGTAAAACTACTCCGGCTGTAGGGGTCATTGTAAGACCCTTGATATATCTACACCTGTTTAGAGGCTGATATTTAAACCCAAGTCTGCAGCAAAAGTCAGTAAAAAGTCCCATATTGATGGTATGGCTTTGTAGAGATGACTTTCATTTCACTTAACAGAGGAAGAGGATTTAATGCTTAGTTTTACACTATTGCCTTAAATTAAAGGTTAAAACTCAATATTAGAATACCTGGAAAAAAAGAACTTTGAAAACTCCCCAATTTTAAGCAATATAACCATTCTTCCCTATTTGCCTGCCAAGGGCAACTTTGTTGATGCATGTCATCGTATCCCAATTGCATGGATCCATCCTCGTGATGTCAATCACTGAATTGTCTGGTCCATTCTCGATTATTTACAAACCGCCATCATATAGCTGGAATATTGCTGAGAGTGGTGTTAAACAACAACAAAACAAACCCATTTCTTGTTTCATGGATGCATGGACCTAAAGTCGTTGCTCACCATATGAATCTCTGGTTTGCCTAGTCGAGAATCGATCATTTACTGGTAATTAACAGCACGCTGTCATATTATTAAGCAGGTATTTCCTCACAATCTCCCCTGGGTATTCTGAGGTGGTCCCCAGTACTGGTACACCATGCTTGTAATGAGAGCGGACTAATCTGCCGGTCATAATGTGTGAGGGCTGATTGTGTGTCATTGTTCCCTGGCAGCATGTGCCATGCCCCCCGTAAAAGGCGACTATGCTTGTCGTAAAAGGCGACTATGCTTGTCGTAAAAGGCGACTATGCTTGCCGTAAAAGACGACTATGCTTGCCGTAAAAGGCGACTATGCGACTATGCTTGTCGTAAGAGGCGACGAACGGGATCGGGTGGTCAGGCTCGCTGACTTGGTTGATGCATGTCATCGATCCCAATTGCGTGGATAGATGCTCATGATGTTAATCACTGGATTGTCTGGTCCAGACTCGATTATTTACAGACCGCCATCATATAGCTGGAATATTGCTGAGTGCGGCATTAAACAACAAACAAACAAACAAACAAACCTGGCAGTGCTGTCAACCATTGGTTTACCCTGCAAAGTATATCATTTACAGGCTGCCTGGTATAGCTGGAATATTGCAACATTGATTGTCTCTCTGCTTTACAGTTGCCGGCCTTATAGACGGGATGATCTACCATTCTGCCAGAGCCATCCAGAAAAAGATTGACCTTGGAAAGGCTTCCTGATTTAAGCGAAATATTTTAACTGCTGACTAATTGCTCTCAGACTACTTGGCATCCTACCACAGAGTCCCATCCATGGGTACATATTGCAGGGGGAAGTACACTTTATAAGGATTTAGGTCTCAGATTAAGGAAACATTTAAATTCAAATTACTGCACGACCCAATGCATTGAGGTCAGTATAAACATTGATCTTATCTGAAGTGTTCATACTTTCTTAATTATGAGATGAAAATATAGCTTCAAATTACCAGAAAACCCATTGCATTGGTAGTATTAAGAATTGATCTTTATGTTAAATGTTCATAGGCGCTGCAATTTATCCCATCAGTTGGTAAATATTTTTTTGTACTCGGATTCAGAAGTCTTGTGTGTCACCATGTATTTATCTTAAAGGGTGCGTGGTTCAGCTGGTTTGCGGTCCAGGCAAGTTTGCATCAGCAGATTCTTTACTCCGATCTAATACATCAGACTAGCAATAAATGTCCCTCATCAAGGACATGCAGGGACCAGTTACAGCTAAGACCCGGATTTGGTGTGTCATTAGACGTGGACGAGGGGCTTCTTTGTGAGGAATTAAGGGACACAAATCGGGAAAATTGCTAGTCCCAGCAAGTTTAAGTGGTATAGTTTGTACCCCAGTCAACTCTTTTTTTAATGTATATCAAGCACTCATTATTGTTCTAATTTCACACACAGGGGCGAAACGGTGGCCTGGTGTTAAAAGGGTTGTCACGCAAAGACCAGGTTCAATTCCCCCATACTGGCCCCCCTTTCCTGATATTTCTGGAATATTGCTTAAAGCCTGGTAAAACTATTGATTCACACATAAATAGAGGTATTGTGGGAATTGGGAAAGTGGCATTAAGCATAGTCCTTCTTTTACTATAGCAATCAGCTTGGTCATAGTGTCTGCTAAATAGTGACATGGTGATGCCCACACTGTTGATGCACCTGGTCAGACTGGCTGCAGGCTGCTGATGTCGACAAGATGATGTGCAAAACGGGATCATGATACTGGTATTAATTAACTGGTTGTGAAGAATCTATCATCTGTTCAACCCCCCTACCCTTACTGTCCCTGTCTATCACTGATGATATTATAACTGGACAACGTCTCCGGGGAGTGACCCTAGGTAGTCTCAGAGCAGACCATTATGTATTTACTATCTATTTTTGTTGGTATTTTGTTTCTAATAAAACGTTGAAAACTATCTGGATTGAGATTTGTCTGATTTATCATTCAGTAAATGTATATCATTGACGAATTGATGAGAGGTGTATGACGCGGAATATTGTCCTCTGGGAGATTCAGTTGTATCCAGTGGCTTGTTATATCGGGATGTGGCGATCAGCATGTTCGCTTGTAGATGAGAAAATCTGTATTTGATGCTTGTTGCGAGGCTGACGGATGATAATCGGGTGGTTACAATAGATGACATGCCTTCTTGGAAACAGTTCAACATTTTTTTTTTTTATAAAACTGCACATGTGCCTGCCTGATGGATACACTATTTCCTTATTGCTATTTAAATAAATAAAAATATTACCGCTTACCCAGCTATTTGCAAATAGTCGAGTCCGAACCAGACAGTCCAGTGATTGACATCATGAGCATTGATCTACGCAGTTGGGATATAATGATGTACATCAACCGAATCAGCGCCGCCTCTTACCCGTTAGTCGCCACTTACAAGAATGGGTTGCTGTAGAGCAATTCTATTTTCACGCCGTTTAATAGTTCGGGAGACCTTCGTAGAGGGCGGGGGATTGGCTGGCATATTCGTCTAAGCTGCCATAATCTACTGTGCAGAGTTGTGTCCCCCATCCCCGAAAGCCCTGGTGCGTTTGAATCCCATATTCGCCATGACTGTCTCTTGGTTTGTCAGCACCATATCCGTGCTCGTGGGTTTTACAAAAAAACAAACGCGCAAGACCTGCACCACTTCGTGCGTTGTACCCACGCTGAAACGCCTTGATGTAAATAAGATAATGTTAAGCGCGGCGATAACCCAAGTAACTCACTTGAGCGGTCATTTAAGCTGTACCATTTGTATATACTGAAGTTTCATGACTAAATGCTTTTATACCTCTCTCACAGGAAACCACGACACCAAGCCCTTCATTAGTCACCTATGTCAGCAAGAACAACGTTAAAAGTTCTGGTCATAAATAGGTACACCGTTAACATTTGAATGTATTGAGTACATTACTTTCCACGTTTACAGGCTGCATTTGAGCACAATACACAACGAGGCAGCATTTATTTCTGCCGGCATCAAAGTGACTAGGTATTATCTGTTGATGCTAATGTGAGGTGAGGTTAAATTAGGTTTAACGTCGCGTCCAAGATTATTGCACTTATATGGCGACGTGCATGCACGCGTGTGTGGCTGCTTGTACCAGTCCGGACTGATGCAGATTTATAGTGCTAGCCCACTGAGATACCATACCGCAGTTTAACATGAATACCCCACTCAGACACAGTATACTGACTCTGAGTCGACTAGTCCTTGATTTAGCCCCTTAATGCCGAGTGCCAGACAGGGTAACAAGAAGTACCATCATTTAACGTCTTTTGGTATGACGCGGCCGGGCGGACGCTGTACCACAAGACCACGGAGGCGGTCGTTGATGCTAATGGAAAAGAATTATTGGCTTCCGCGCTGTATCTCAAACTGAACCGGACATGGTGTCTATTTTAAGGGGCGATGTACCTTCATTTGTCACTGTTAAGAGGTAGGCAGCTGGTTTCAAGAGGGGAAGAAAGAGCTTTGAAGATAATCCAAGATCAGGAAGCACCTTCGACTGCAACCACTTGATACTATACACATTAAATGATTTTGGATGATCGACGACTCACCACAGCGCTAGTACAGTAGGCAACTGCCCCATGGGAGTTGAGAACATTCTAAGGAATAAACTGGGCATGGGCGGATACAGAGGGGGAGTGCGGGGGTGCGCAACCCCCCCCCCCCTTTTTTTTTATTTCGAAAAAAATCTTTATTTCTGACCAGAAACGCCCCATGTTCATCATCTCTTGGGGGCATTTGCGTCGTTTTGAAGCAGACCAAGCTGTTTGTGTTGAGCGATAGACAACAATTAGATCTGACTCTCAGTTCTAAGGTTTGGTTCCATCCTGACGCCTTGAAAGATGTGGCTGCAATGCGCTACTGTACTATCGAACTTCTACCAGAACATCTGAAAAAGGCCCAGGGCACACATTATACCACCACAATGTATGCCTTTCATTCTAGGCGCTTACCTGCAGGCGTAGAATTTAGCGCAACAGAAACACACTCATTATTATTATATACGATATGAATACCTCAATACAACGAACCATTAGGCCTCGATTTACACATAGTAAATATTTTACCCCGATACGAAACCTCTCTGCGTGAAGATCTTTGACACCCAAAAAAGAGGTCGCTTCAGATGAACTTTCTAATCAACCAATCGGCGTCGAGGCTTCTATATTCTCGGTACGAGTGAGCGCCTAACAATGACTGCATGCGCGTTTTAGGGTACCCATGACGCATTTCTTTTCAGATTTGATGTTGTTTTTTGTAAAACATGAGGATCAGTAAAGCATTCAGACAAGCATATACTGGTATATGATTTTCTATCTCGAAAACGAATGTAACGGGGGAGTTCCGAAATTCAAATAAGGTAAAGCCGCTCTAAGATATATTTTATACACCCTTTATTTCCTAAGCGCCATAGTAATTGACTAATGCCGATTTTGAAGTGCTAGTTCACTGACATACCATGCCGCAGTTTAACATGAATACCCCTCTCAGACACAGTATACTAACTCCAAGCTGACTAGTCCTTCTGCAAAGCCCTTTAATGCCGAGCGCCAGGCAGGGTAACAAGTACTATCTTTTAACGTCTATTGGTACAACGCGGGCGTGGATCGAACCCCCGACCTTCCGCTCTCTGGGCAAACGCTCTACGACTAGAATATGGAGGCGGTCTGACAGTAAGGGCAATATACGATGTACACGGCACATCAAATGTCGATACAAGTTGCATCAAAGACAATGACGTGAATGTCAGCAATGTTCCAGCTATATCATGGCGGGATATACATATTCGAGTCTGGACCAGACAATCCAATGGTTGATATGATCAACATCCCACTGCCTGTATCGACATTCGATCCCCATTTATCTTCCACAAAGATATAATCGATAAAGGTTCTCGCCCTTTGTTCTATCAGAAAATAGTAGTTTACTATTTATCTTCACACCACATCGCTTCCTCTATGCAGACATACGGAAGCGTAGTGGGGCCACGGTGAATTTGTTTTTGTCTAAGTATATCCTACGTAGGACTTAGTATCTTCTACGCAGAACTTAGTATCTTCTACGTAGGACTTAGTATGGACTAGGATAACTATCTCCTACGGACTTAGTATCTCCTACGTAGGACTTACTATCTCTTAAGTAGGACTTAGTATGGCCTAGAATCACTATCTCCTACGTAGGACTAGAAATGGGCTTCACACATTGTACCCATGTCGGGAATCGAACCAATGAGCGAACGCTTCAACCACTAGGCTACCCAACCGCCCCTGATAATATGCAGTGGTAATATTGTATTGTTTAATGAAAACGAACGCGACAGTATATATTTTTCTGTTTATTCCGAGACAACAAATAGGGTATTTATTATTCAGCCCGGTTCTCTGGGTATGCCAGCGCAGCATACCCAGGGAACCAGGCTAGGTTTTATCAAACATTTGTACCAGTTCCACGAATAGTGAGTGAGTTGGATTTTACGGCGCTTTTAGAAATATTCCAGCAATGTCCCTGCACTGGATACCATACACTGTACTCATCCATTGATAAAGTAAATTGAAGTATGGTGCTGCTCTCACAATTAGCATGCATTGTGCCTACTCGTAGGACATCGTATTATCTCAGTGAGTGAGTGAGTATTGTTTAACGCCGCTTTTAACAGTATTCCAGTTATATCACGGCGTATCAGCTTAATGTGGGAGGCAAGCACGAAGTAATGCAGGTCTCAGACGTTTACCACTTCTGTGAAACCCACGAGCACGGGTATGGTGCTGACAAACCTAGAAACATAATCGGGCCAAATCGGGATTCGAACCCACAATCATAGGTTTCTGGTGTGCCCAAGGGACGCAACTCTGCACAGCGAATCGCGGCGCCTTAGACCCGTGCCCCCTGCTATCACAGTGTATACTCGTAGGTCATCGTGGTATCATTGCTCCAAACGTGGTAAAACGTTGGAAAACATGGTATTGGAGAATGACTTTATCATCTACATCCAAGATGGCCGCCAGCAGCCACCTCAGAAAAATGCCTCGTTATAATAACTACAACATCTACTTCCAACAAATCAGATCAAATAGCTTTTTGCTTAGTTGGAAGCAGTTTGAACAAAGCAACACGCTTCACGAGAACGTGTTAAGCACAGCCTATTCCTGATATTTAATGATCATTTTCCGCTGTTTCATTAATTGGCTGCACTAAACAGCTCGATTGTTTTCCTCTACAATATAAATAAACCGAGACAAGACCGGAATATGTAATGTGACCACACCATGCATAAGTTTGTGTAACCATTTCAGAATCCAGACACAACTATGTGATTAGTCAAACTGTACATGACTCCAAAAGCACTGAGCATTTGTCTATGTTTGTCTGGTCACTCTGATGGCGTATGAGTAAGTGAGTTAGGTTTAACGCCGCTTTTAACAGTATTCCAGTTATATCGCGGCGTGTCAGCTTAATGTGGGAGGAAAGCCCGAAGTGATGCAGGTCTCAGACGTTTACCACTTCGGTGAAACCCACGAGCACGGGTATGGTGCTGACAAACCTAGAAACATAATCTGGGCAAACCGGGATTCGAACCCACAATCATAGGTTTCTGGCGTGCCCAAGGGACGCAACTCTGCACAGCGATTCGCGGCGCCTTAGACGACTGGGCCACCCGTGCCCCCTGATGACGTATGCATTGTGACGTACCGTATATGATATACCGGTACTGAAGAGCAAGTTCATAAAATTGTTAAATAAAAGATATTTAATACATGTGAAATTAAATAATAAAAGCTGTTAGATAATAAATATTTAATATATATGAAATTTAATAATAAGAGCTGCACTTTTATTCTTTACGTCCTATTCAGCTGGTGCAGAAAGGTTGGATAAATTTCAACATACCTATGACACTATCG